GAATGTCATCAGCATCTGCTCATTAGTTCCAGAGATGGACCATGCAGATAAATGAAAATGATCTCTATACATTTATTTCATGCTCTTCATACAAAGAATGTCTAAAACAATAAACACCCACTTTGTAAAAAGTGTTACCAAAAGTCACAGTATGCTTTTTTTTATTACAGGATGGATTTGCACCTCCTGAAGAAGTTGATGGTGATGTTCCACCACTACCAAATGAGGAGGAAGAATACTGATCAGTTTAGGATTCAGTGTGTACATGTAAAAATGTGATGGCAGTGAAAAGTTTGGAGTGAACTCATACATTGGTTATACACTTACATCTGTATTGCTAACTCACCCTATAAGTGCAGTAGGTTTGAGCTCACTACCAGCTTAAAGAAACATACTATAATTCCTGTTCATTTTTAGCATGACTCTGAAATAACATGCACATGAATGGCTTTGTTACAAAAGTGATATTGCAGTCTTAACAGAACATATCACTTTACAAAGAGCATAAATATGTAGGCTTTGTATGTTGTTTGCCATCCACTTGTACTTTTAAAGGCAGAATTGGTGCCAAGTAATAGGACTGGATTGTATAGCTTGTGAGGTCTGCTGTTTTTGTTATAAATATTGAAACGATACTCGCATTTAAATTGTTTTGACACTTCTGGTAGTAAGTGTACTTCTTGCATTGCATGTTGAATCTCAATAGGTCTATGGTAGGGAGTGCAAATATATATTTTTTTGTGAGAAACTTCTTGGGCAACATTAAAGTTTATGTTATAATTGTTTCAGTAAGTGTTGCAATTCCTAAGTTATTAGTCATTTCATATTCAGTAAGAGTAAATTCCTCATCGTAAATAAGCGTATTGTGCAGAGTCATGGACTTGGCTGGCTCTTGTGAACATTGTAATAAACCTTCAGTTTTCATAAAAGGAATGACTCTTCCCTGTGGAGTTGGGTAGTTTTAAGTGAAGTACATTTTTCATCAGACTTCTTACATTGTAGTTTTTCTTGAGCTGAAACTGTTTTAACTTTTGTGAAACTGTAAGTCTTGTTCTTTTATCACATGTGATGGTTTGCTACGAAATTTTTGAAAAAGCCATCATAAATAATTGTTTAAGTGAATAAAATGTAACATATTAAAAGTTGTTTGCCTCATGTGTGATATTTTTGTATACTTATTCAACCTTTTAAGCAATACATTATTTACAATACCTGTGATGTTAGACCATAAACCAGTAGTAGTCATGCATTCAGGAGTTTGAAGTTTTGTTTCCTTTTATATGGGATATTTCTATTAGTACTAATAGCATGCAATAAGAAGTCAGGTGGGAATGATTGGCTATGCTATACTGTCACAAAACATACAGCCACCCCCACATACACTGTTTCTATATCACAGTGCATTGTACTATTGAAGACAATTGACATACCATGTGATTAGAATATTAGGAATGCACATGTACAGTAAGATCATCCCTTTTCCTGCTTCTACTTCCCAGCAAACTTCTTATGGTATGCATACAGTAGAAACTTTTTTTCCCATTTCAGACCTAATCTTTACTCCAGTCATGTTGTCTGGCAATGTATTGACAATGAAGGAATTTACCACAATTTTACTCCCTGTAAAGGAAAAGTAGTATGCTGAGAAACTTCTAAGATGAAAGGATCTGTAAAGAAGTAACTACCTGCTTTTGTATGCAGTATTTCATCAACAGATAATTGTGTTAATAATTTTGTAACATGCCTGTGCATAATTTCTGCTTTATATAAATTACCACTGCATCAAACATCTTAGACATGCAAACATTTTGCACCATTATCATGTGTATAATTTCCAACATACAAAGAAAATTAATTTACAGTTTTTTACACAATCTATAGATCCATTTATGATTATCTTAACACTACATTTTGACGTAAATACGTCTATACGGAAGGGTCATTCGGCAAAACAGCGTTAGGAAAATGTGTAAGATCCATACCAACAATGTGAACTCCAGCGTGCATAACAATGCTTTACTCCTTTACCTAAGAAACTAATTGTTATGTCATCTGTTTATTCGGCATTGTTGTATTTCATTACTGCCGCCAACAATCCGCTTTCGTTATTGCGGAAAGAGCTGAGCTGTGAATCGCTTGTAGAAGAAGTGGGTCGTAGAGTAGATAATATTGTGCTGGTTCGTCACGTTAAGCGCCCGCCTCTCGAACAGCGTAAGAGATGGATCTGGACATATTGCGTACGAAATACATATTACCTCTTTAGCTTTCCATATCTGTTTTCAGATTTGACATGTCACAAATGGTTTAGGTTCAACAAACATTTATTTATACAAATAAAGGTGCATCGCACTTCACGCTACTGCTGCGTTTGTATGTTCCGTCATACTATGTAGAGATAATAAGATGGATGACATTGAAACTAAAAGAGTCCGTAATGCAGAATATATGAGACCGTACAGAAAACGTAAACAATAGAAGTATTAAATAATGAACCTGAAGTTCCCAAGAAAATACCAAAAACTAATGCTGAATGTATGAGGGACTATAGAAATCGCAACAAGCAATTGTTGCAAGTTAATGCTTCCGCATCATTAGCAAGTACAAGCAATGTTTTAATCAAACTATTTACTCAATTGTAAAGCATGTATAAAGGGAACATTTTGAATAATGCTAATACATAAACTTCCTTTCAATGTATTTATTGCCTAAATATAATTTAAATAGAAAGACGTATTTACGTCAGATTCTCCGGAACCGTGGTTCCACTGTCAAGCTTACTGTAGTAGTTGATCAGTTATTTACATCAACTTGGAAGAAAATTTTGTATGTTTACAGTGTTACTAACAAAAGGAAACTTTAATAAAGGTTTAATGTTTCTTAGATTGTTCACTACAAGAAGTTGAGGTTCTATACAATGCACATATGTATGCCATGTTGGTTTGATTGTTGACAGAATTATAAAGTATGAAACTGGCGCAACGTACTATGTGCCAGGTTTCATGTAAATTCTTCTAATGGCTGAAGTATTAGACGGAGAATGGACACATGCTGAAAGTGGGCATGACAGCATAAGCCGTATACATAAGAACAATGGAGTAGGAAGGTTACAGAGCCACAAGGAAACTAATTTTTTCCTTTATCTAAGACATCCAATATCAGTCTATATTGATTTACTGAACAGATAAATCAGTGTTTGAAAGGATGCAGAGCTTAGTTTGGAAAATTATATTCAATGTGTTTCTTTCATTTTTAGTTATTGTCAGTTTGTAAGCTATGGAATCTGTTTGCTTCTACATCAATTAATCTATTGCCAACACCTATATTTAAATTTGGACATGTCGTTCTTAGCAGCAAATTTTATGTAGTTTGTTTTGTCATAAGTTAGTGCCAATTTGTTAGTTTCAAACCATATGTTTAGGTATCCTGTGTATGTCAAGAGTTTGTTAAGAACTTCTTCATGTAAAGTACAATTTTGAGGTTGTGGGCAAAGATGGCTCTCTTCTACACGTTGTCCATAACAAAACATAGTAATGAACAGTATGAAGTCACTCGGAAATTTCTAAAATAGTTCTCTGATGCACCTGCACCCACACGGAATTCTTTGAGCTGTGGGAGATGAATTCCTTCTATTCAACAAGCGGAGAGGGAAATTATTTTCTCAACTGTTACTGGAATTTTAATGCCAACATGCAGCATGTTCATTCCGCAAAACGGAACATGCCACGAAACATCCGGGTAGCGGGTAGTATGTTGTTGGCAATAATCTGTGAGTGTATGTGACAGCGTAGCGAAGTGGATGTTCGATGTCAACAAGTGTGTTTCATTTACAGTTAATTCGCAATTAAAACGGGTGTATTTCCAAAGTTTGTATAATGTCCGGGCAGTGGGAAGTAGTTGGCAAAAACAAACAGAAACAAAGTGGGCAAACTTTGAAAAGATTGTCTAAAAGTGAAAGAAAGAAGTTTGTTGAAAATGCACCGAAAGTGGAAGATATATGTAAGTTGTTACGTCTCTCTTCGACTAAAGCGTAACGTTAAGGAATACAGTATGTACATGTTTTCTCTTAACACCACGACATTATTTCCAAGTAATAACTACTAAGACGTGCCATATTCAGTAACGTTTGTATATTATCATATATATAACTAAAAATAGTTTATTCTGTCATTGTAACAGTATACGACAAATCTGAATAACTTTCCAATTCAGCATACCATTTAATATTAATATGAAAGCTAATCAGAATACTATGCACCATTATATATACTGAGGGAAAATAAAAAGTGGTTTGAGCCTGTGTAATGTCGTAGAATTGCAGATTATTGTATAATCCTTGACAACCTCCACTTGTGTGGGGGGACTCCTTGCACTTTAGGTCTTCCTCATTTTGTCATTTTAATACCAAACTTTTTAGTGAATTACAAATGGTTCGGATATAACCTACTAGTGTTACATGGTGGATAGCTTTTGATTAACATATGCCTACTTTTATTTGGAATTAAAACTTGAATTACAGAAATAAGTGCATCCATTACATGGTTCAGAATGGTAGTAAAGTTCGAAATAATATTTGTTTAGATTGGAATCATTAATTGTAACCTAACCACATATATCACAGAACACTGAAAGTTTTGATTTGTTGGATTTCCTAGTATAAGAGTAGTTAACAGTTGAAGGCATTTATAATACATTAATAAATAATCATTTCTGTTACAGTGCCATTAGCCGAAGTCAAAACCCTATATACCACACTGGATAATGACAAAGAAAATCATAAACCCTCAGGTAAAGAAACTAACCTTAGAGAAAATGAGGCGAAGAAAGCACAAAAGAAACAGCCGGTGAAAAAAAAGGAAGTAAAAGAAAAACCACCAACTCCAAAGTCATTGGAAATGGCAGTAAGATTGGTAAGATATTTTTATAAGTGGCTGATCCTCCATTTACCATATTTAATGTAGAAAAGAGTGGATTTATCCTGGATGTGCCATAGTTACAACAATTGGTGAGTGAACAAATTGAGTTGATTTATTCCTGGTTTATTTTAATTCTAAATAACAATTAGAAAGCTAACATTGACAAGGCTTATCATTGAAAAATACATACATTGGAGTGTAACATATGTTTTTATCAGAGTTCACAGAAGAAAAAATGTTTGTTCTTGTAATTGCATTATTTTCTGTGAAGATAAGTGCACTGGTATATTGGTATGTAAGTCAACTATATGTATGATCTGAACCTTTATGGTGACTAAATATAATAAATTCTTCTTAGGCTACCTGCCATGTCAGTTGATTGAAAGGTGAAAAAAACAACGTTTTGAGAACCATCTTTGTCCTCGTCCTTTGGGTATTGAAGTACATGGCTGGTAGCGTGAGAAGAATTTATTATAAGTTAACTATATGTTTATATGATTGTCAGAATGTAAATATTAACTAAATATTTTGTCATACTATAAGTATATTATTTATTTGCCTTCAAAATGAGTTTGTATCTAAACATAATTTCTTGAAGAAGGTCTGAGGTTTGAATTTTAACCTGGAGACTGGTTGTCCTTGCTCAGGAGTTTTGTTGTTTTACTCGGTTTTCCAGGAAAATGCTTTCTTTAATACTGCATTAATGAGGTCACAATTAGTTCCCTTCACATCCTTCCTAATTCATAATTACAGTAAACCATTAATTAATGGATTTTGAATTTAATGGACACAATGTGGTATTGCCAAATTCTTTTTTGAATTTGAGGCATTAATGGACATTTTCAGTTTGTATTACTAATGTGTTTAATGGTGTTCTTAATGGATGTTGTGATTTAAGGATGCCTTACTGACAACATAATAACAACTGTGCAATTTAACAATCAGCATTACTGGAGACCCCTTTCCACCTGTTATTCCATTAAATTGAGGGTTTGTTGTTGGTATATTTGATGCTATATAAACTTTTGTTTCTTAAAGCATCATTAAACAACTCAAGAATCAGTCCTATAACAATGAAAGTGTTGCAGTAATAAAATTTTTTGTTTCAGATTGATGTGGATGAACTAGCAAATGAACTGGAGATTGGCCAGGCTCGTTTCCAGGATGCACCACTGATGTGGCTGAAAGGATTGGCTGAATATCTGAATGTTAAACTAGAGCACAGTAATCCTGTGCTTAATCCCAAAGCTATTGACTATCCGCTGTGTGTGCTGTCTGGTGAGATTCGGGATGTCCTCAGACGAGCATTCAAGGATGCCGGGGAAGCAGCTGTCCAGCACTTTTTCCATATATGTCTTACTGCCATGGCTGATGACATGATCAGAGGTTTGAGATCTATCAGATTTTTTTGTATTGAATGATAATATAATAAAACAAGAATCTAGTAATACCTTATTGAACATTTTTTATGTTTTTTCAGAAGAAAGCTTTTAGTTAGTTAGCTATTACAGGGTCATTGTAACATATTATAATTATATTATTATTAAGTAATCATCTCCACACAACAGTATTTGTTAATGTATGCACTCTGCACTTATTTGTCACATCTTGACATTTATTTTACTACTGTAATTAGAATATCTTCAGAAACTATTCTATTATGGTTGATGTCAAGAGTGTGTAGGATTGGCTCAAATGAGCAAATATAAAAGACAGCCACCCTGTGAACTGCATTTCATTTTGTTGCAAATAATTATAGACCCTCACACAAGACCTACTGTTGGTAAACAGTGCTGGATTCTGGTTGGCAATGGGGTGTACTTTAAACAGATAGGCATTGCCATAAATGTGGAACCCAGTATGTTAATTGTATGCATATCAGTAAAATTCAGTTACTACAAAAATGTAAAAGGCACAAACCATAAGAAGTACTAAATATTTAAGGTTTACTAATTTGATTTAACATTATGCCTTTTTCTAGCTATAACATAAAATCGACAATTTCTTATATACATTTGCTGTACAACAGTGGTAGAACACTGCTTTACATGAAGCTCAAACCATATTCACTCTTTTCTGAATTATATACTAATCTGTTTCTAAGAAATTAAGTTAACCCGAAATTGTTGTAGCTTTCATTTTGCTACCATTATCAGTTATAACAACATTTAAAGCATTTAGATAATTTGTGTGTGATATCCTGTAACAAATATTACTAATATACTTCCAGGTAGTTCATTGATATATGGATATAAAATAATGCTGCAACTATTAGCGTACCAGAATCCAAGCATTACAGTCTCAAACATTCAAAAAGTGACAGCACTTCGCAATTCTTACCAAAACCGTCAGCCAATTGGACTTGCAATCTTGTGGGCATTGGGTCAAGGAGGAACGAAAGATATACAGATTGGTTTGAAAGGTTTGTATTTTAATCTTAAATTTGAATTGAAAACTTTCTTTTGAATTTTGAGAAGGGTTGAAAGGAAATTTTGTATAGTGAACAGAGACACATTTATAAAGAAAATGAAAAGACAGATAACAGGTACAATATGTGGAGGTGTGCTGGGTTTAGATGTGCAGATATGAATCCATAACTGCTACCACCATCTTAATGCTAATGATATTTATTAGACAGAGAAAATAAATTATTGAATAATTTATGTACACCGGACTCCTAGAATGGCACGTCTCAGCTGTAAAACAAAGATTCTACAGTTATGTATTTATACAAACAAAGTATTTATCACTTAAGAATAGCTTATATCTTCATGTAAATGATCTGTAGTATTTATTTGTTTGGAGTTTTAATACTGGAAACTCTGTAATACCAATGAAAGAACACAACATTTCTTTCTCTGCTCACATAATGAAACATTCTTTGCTTTGCTTATTTTTATGAAATTATGTGTAGATTATAAATTTTTTGTAAGAATGTTTTATAAATGTTTGGTATGTTTATTTTTTTGTATTATTGTTCATTCTGTTGAAAAGGAGAAGTCAAATATGGAAACTTTTATTGGTAAAAATTAAAGATATGTGGTTTTAAATATCCGTGATAATAATAATAATAATTGTTTGCTCAAAAGTTTTGGCTTACATTAGTGAGAATACACATAGTGAACTGAGGCAAGGCATTATTAGTGTGTATAAAAATTGGGAAGGGATTACTTAAATGTTAAGTCCATTCAGTATGAGTGTTTTTTACAGTAGTGTCAAGAATTGGGATGATTTTCCAGGTAACTATTCCCTTTGGTAGGATACTTGATTGTACATGGTTCTAACTAATGACAGAAAACTAATGATTGTGATTTTTTCTTTCATTTTAGTGTGGTTGGATGTTATGGTACCAGTGATGGACATGAGGAACTATACCAGTTTTGTTGTCAACTATCTTAAAGACATCCTCACCCATAGCCCACAAGGCAGGCCAGTGAACCATGAGCAGTTTTTTGCTGTGCTTGATGTTATCCACTCACCAACAAGCAATCTGCCCAATGATATTCGACAGAAATTGCTTTCTCTCATTCCTTCCCTTAGGGTTTGTATATTTTTAATTTCTGTTTAAAGTGATGAATCTATGTTTCTGCTAGAAAGAAGAGTAGCATTCTGAAGTACCACATTTAAACCATTAGTTTACAAACGCAAGAGAGATTAATTTCAGTCCCAGGATTTACTGCAACAGATTGTAAATATGTGGCCCTTCATATGACAAGGTAACATCCAATGGAAAAGATGGTTTGAGAAACTGGTGATAATATTCAACATTGATTCTGATAAAATTTTTTGTTGAATTATAAATATTTTAACATTGTGACTATTTATTTCCTTTTTGTAGTTTTAAAACATAATTTGAATAAATTATTGGAAATTTTATTTGTTACAAATTAGGAGACGTTTAAATTATATTATTACAGGTTCGGGCAATAAAAGCAGACCCTGAGAAGAGATTACGTAATTTCTTTGAGCCACTTCTCCTGAGACTGGAGCCATCTGCATCAGGAACACTCAAAGAAGAGGTATCAGGTTTATTAATTATTGTGTGTTGCTGTAGGAGATAGGTGAAAATCAAATTTCCCTCTGGGCTTAAGCACCACATGATAGATGTGTATAATGTGTGTGGAGGTGCTTTCTACATTGATTGATTGATGCGGGTGGTCAACTTCACACTCTGGCTGCTTAACTTTAAAGAAATTAGTCCCCATACCCACTGGATGGAATTCTGGGTGGGCTGCAGTTTTAGTCTAAACATGTTGGTTAATAAATAAATATGCTTTTCAGAAATGGAGTTGAATGAAATTTAATCAATGCTGACCTCTCATTTCCATGTAATGCCAAGCTTTACTTAATTGTATTTAATGTCTCTGATTCTGAGGTTCTGATATAAGCTAGCCCCCTTTCCTCCCTCCCTCCCTCCCTCTTGCCACCTTCCTTCAATGCAGACAAAACATTTGTAGCTGAATCAGCCTAGAAATGATGTGTGTCATTTAGCAATCCCAGTAAATCTGAAAATGTGGTACATGAAGGAAAAATGAGGAATATATATTTATTCATTTCAGAGCCAAATTAACAAAAATTTTATATTTCTTTCTTTGTGCCTGCAGCAGGAAGTCACTTTGCAGCAGTAAACACTGCAGTCCATGTTATATAAATAAATGTGAAGTTTCATGTGGTTGTACAAATTGCCAGTGCTTATTCTGTGAAACACTCTACTTTGTGGAGGGAAACCTGCTCTCCTACTGCTTTAATTCTCATAGAGACAAATCATGTTTTCCCTTTTTTAAATTTCATCTGTTCCTGTGCAACGTTTTGAAGTAATATGTAGCAATGCATAATACATTACCCATCAATAGTTGTTTGCTATAGGAATCTATCAAGAGATAAATTAACTACATTTTTTTCAAATTTAGTATGACACATATTCAGTTTGCCATGATCTGAATGGCTAATAAAAGTGGGAACCTGCCTTCCTGCTGTGAATGTTTTAAGAGAAACTAAGAACTGTGATGACATTGGCAGTATGACCTCTGAAATGTTGGTGGAAATCTACCAGACTACATGGCGCAATAACCCAGAAGACAACAATCTTCAGACTCACTGCTGTGGAAACCTCAAATCCTACATGTTCTAGAAGCTTTTTATCTATCACCATAAGGAGCACACAATATTGTTCCCAGAAGGTTTTGCCCTTGCTGACCAGTATATATAGCAGCAAGAGCATCACAAAACACTTTGATGTGTAATAAGTTTGGTCTTGATGACGTTACTCCATTCAGTCAGAGGTTGGCCACTGCTACAGCCATAAGCAGCAACCTGTTGTACTTATTACTACATATTACTAATAAATCTCTTGTACCAGTCTGCTCTCTAGCAGTAATTACTCCAACAGGTGACAGATAACCAACCATCAAAATCTGCTTGACCAACATATTAAACCCACAAAGGTACTTTGTATGGTTTTCCCATGTGTGGTACACAGCAGTAAGCCAAGGGTTCATTTCTGTGTTCACAGGAGCTTTCCATTGAACACTATCCTGAGCCAGTTGAAACTAATCTGTACTAACATTTTGTATGCATTTATCAACTCCGCGTGTGCTACATGTCCTGCCAATCTCAGCCTTCTTGATTTGATACCCCATTAACATTTGATGAAGAGGGTGGTAAATTATGATGCTCCTCATAATTTGACTTTCTCAGTCTCTGTTACATCCTGCCTTATCCTAATATTCTGCTAAGATCTTTGTTTCCAAATTCAGTATGTCATGTTTGTCATTCTTTGTTTCAGCTGTTGATGTGTTTGGTGATGTGTCTAAATAGTGATCAACATTGTTACAGTACCTGGAGGCAGCTGTACACTAAACACCTCCCTCAGTCAGCAATTTTACTTGCCCATATTGGTATGTAACCTGTCAGTGATTCTCAGTTTTCTCTTAATCATGAAATGGTAAAAGAGCAGTGAACTTTCTGAGGATTAGTTCATTATCTGTTGTACATTGTAAAATACAAACAGTATTTTGCAGATCTAATTACTACTGGCATGTCTAAACGTATTTATTTATAATATAATTGACATTAAAATTGAAGAAGCATCATAATCGTCCATATTAAAGAAAAGTTATGCATTGGTGCATATGAAATAGTTAAGCTATGAGAAATATTCTCTGCATTATTAGTTTGGTATATAACAGGAAGAAATGTGATTGTGATTACACTTGTCTGTTAAATCAACCATCAGATACAACTTTTGCTAGCTGCACTTTGTATTGCTGTTTTAGCATCCTACATGTTTTAGCCTTATGGGACATATTCAGGAGCTCTAAGTTTGCCTTTTTGCTTGCCCTATTAGCCTTCAGGTTCATTTATTTCTGATATACAGCAGTATAAAAATGTATTCTTTATTGTTTTAACCATTTTTGTATGAGAATAGAGAATGTAAACCTTCAAATTATGGGCTTCTGGCCAGACTTTAACTGTAGGATAGGCTAAAAGTATTTGACAAAGGTGTGTCATTAAGGTGTGGCATATTATCAAAATTTTCCTTTCATCTACAAGTTCAAAAACCCATAAACTTAGAGACAGAGAATAATTTCAGTAATATGCATCAGTTTAAAGACACAATTAGCAGTTTAGCAGTGTATTGGTATGACATACAACCAGTTGAACTGGGTGTAAACCACAGTGTGTGGTCAACAAATATATCCATATTTGAAAGTTTTTTAAATAAAAGTTATAGAACAAAACAAGATCTTTAGTTTACATTATGTACTAGTCTTTTATTTACATACATTTTGAAAAAATAATATGATATTAACTTTATATAAAATAGGGGTTATGTTGGAATGACAAAATCATTCATTTTCTGTGTGTGTTCACATTCTCCATTCTCCTTTTTTATGTTCACTCACTTTGTCACTCCACCTTGTCTTTGATCTTTCCAACATATTAATTTTGTTGCTTTTGTTGTTTGCGTGTGCACAACATATCTATGCCTTTGTATAAATTTTATCAATAAAATTATCACCATGTTAAGTGGGACCCTTGTTACCATTGCATGGTGTGGCTTCATTCAGGTTATGGAAGAGACAGCCTCCAACTATGGAGGGTATTATTTAGTGTTCTGTCTGACGACAGGTCCATATGAACAGGATCCTTCCATCCTTTTCTCGGACTGGGACCTGTTCATATACGTTCTTGGCAGATGATCCAGAAGTGGTTTGCCGTTGCCTTCTTCTGTGTGTGAATGGAGTAATTGTGGGGATGCCACAAGTCATGGACAGTTGATAAGGGGTAGTCCTCCAGTTTGGGGGTTGCACATGGGGCTAGCAACTCCTCACTATAAAAAAATAATATTTTATGAAATGTTACATAGGGCCTCAGACTAGGACAGATTCTTTGTAAATGAAGGAAAATAGACATGAGATTTGGCACATTCAATGTAAGGGTGGCTACACGCTATGACTTACCGGAAGGCCTGCCTTCCAAGATTAAAATCGGAAGGTAATCCTCAAATCTCTAAGAGTCCACTCATGTAAAGACTTTGTAGCAGGTTTGTGCTCAGTCTTTCATTCTTGAGTTGATGCTACAACATGTTCAGTGAAGTCGATGCGATTGTAATTGGTCTTGCTGTTTCTTTAATGTCTAAAAAACAAAAGAAAGCTAAACCATTCCAAGTGGGTCAAAGTTGGTTAGGTAGACCAAAACATTCTCGCATAAATTTGTTGAATGAAATTCGGTTAGAGCCGACGGACTGCCATAACTACCTGGTCTTACAGAAAATCCAACATGTGGAAATACCTTAGAGATGGATCGTATACTTCTCCACTCGCGCTGCTTCTTTTACATTGTGACACTTTCTTCAACTCTTTTCTGTATGAACTGCGCATATTGTTGATCCTCTTTACTATGGTATCCTTTGTTGCAGTACCATCCACTTCTTGCATTTTTTCAACAAACTTCAAATACGCAGAGTTTCTCAAGTGTTTGTTGGAAGACTGCTTGCTCTTCATGTCATATATACAAACAAGGCAGAGACCTGTACAACTCAATGAATTTGAAGATGAATTCATGAGGCCAGGATCTCATGTCAGCCATCACTTCAATAATGGTGATGTAAAAACTGATGAAACAAACAGGGCTGTATAGTGCTGTGGTGACTGATTGAGATGACTAAATGCTACAAGCCTTGCCTCTACCCTCTTCTCTTCCCACACATGTTACAACTTGTAAACATCCACTAAACCTTGAGGTAAAAAATCAAGCGACTTCAGATTTATTGGAGGCTCGGTTTCTGGCCAAATTCAACACACGCTTCGGTTTGCCGGAAGGTTGACCTTCACAGACGTAAGCCTTCCAGCAAGCTGTAGCGTGTGTGGCCACCTTAAGGAATCTATAGAGGCAGGTTCACTGGGAACAGTTGCAAGAGAAAAAGCAAAATATTAAAATTGATCTTAGAAAAATAGGATTCTGTGGTATGGACTGGGTTCAACTGGCTCAGGACATGGACCAGTGGCGGGCTCTTGTGAACATGGTAATGAACCTTCAGGTTCCATAAAATGTTTGGAATTTCTTGAATGGCTGAGTGACTGTTGGCTTCTTAGGAAGGTCTCACCTTTGTGGAGTTAGTTATTTCATTATCATTTTCTGTGTTCGAGGATTAGGTCCATCATCCTGTTCCCAACTTCAGTTCCATCTTTGGGTTGGCTGCTGACATATCTTCTCCCTTCTGGCCTATAATTTAATATCTGTTTTGGTAATTATTGCAATTCAATTCTATCTAAATGTTGTATCCAGCCCTGATTATATGTTTCTTTCTCATGTATTGAATGTGTCAGCAGCTCGTATTATTTCTTGATATGTTATTTGGTCTTGTCATATATACATCCTTACACTGGCTAAAGACATTTTATTCTGCATTCATCTTTCTTCATCATAATCCATGCTTCTGAATCATATAGTAAGGTTGAATCAGCCAGGACAGTTAAAGATTTCATTTGTTCCTTTGGTTGTTTCTTCCTTCATATTCTTTATATTGTATTGTTTAATTTGGACAAATAATGCTAATAATTGTTATTTATAATTGTAGAAGTAGACTAAAATGTTTTGAAATTTTTCAGACAGTCACTGGGGTGCTATTAAGGAACATGTGGTGAAAATGCTTAGTGAGACGCTTTCTACATTCCAAGTAACCAATGAAGAGCTGAGAAAGGACAAACATAAAGATGAACAACATTTAACACTTTGCCAACATTCCTGTGGGGTAAGTGTTTTAAAATTACCATTGCATGAAAAATTGCAGAATTTGTAGGGGATTTTTCTATTTCTCTGTGTAGCAGCATTTCACATATACATGTATGTTGTATCAATCTTCATAAATATTCTTAAAAACTGCTTATTGTAAAAAATATTTATATATTTCTTATAAATAGAAAAATTAACATATGTTTCAACAATAGACAAGTTACTTTACATTAGCAACTTTTAGTGCTTATTTTTACTGCAAGGTGTAGTTAAAATGGAGGAGAAAATGTTAATGTGTTTACATAATTTTCAAATTATAAAATCATTCTTCCCAAAAATGTTTAATACAATGCTGTTGATAGATAACATATTCTTCATTGGTTTGTATGTTAGTCTGACTGGACATTGCAGTTGAATGGTCAGTACTGTTGCTTCATATGTAGTTGGTTATGGTACTGGATTCAAAGACTGGTCTAGAGACCAGCTACCTTATTTGATATTTGACATGATTTCCTCAATCCCTCAAGGGAAATGCTGGACAGTACCTTAAAATAGGACATAATTATTTTCTTAAAATTCATGATAGAATAGGTAGAATGACTCACTAGTCATTCTACTGTTTGATGTTGCATAACCAGTGCAGGTGGAGAAACAATTAATAATTCCAGAATCTGGTTTCTACTTTTTGTTTCTGTACATTACACAGTTTTAGGACTCATTTCTGCCAAAAGAGTTTAGTGCAATATTGATGAGATGAAAGAGTTTAAATTGATCTGTAACTGCTTTAAATGGATGTTAAGTCTGTAGCCATTGCAAGCACATATTTGGAAAATGTGGACTTTATTTTCTACCAGGAAATGTGGCTGAACATACTCATAGTTATGAAACATAACCTGGTTCTGAATTGAATGACCTAAAGAATAGGGTAGCCATTGGCTCTGTAAGTGTGGACAGACCTTCAGTGCCTGTTAATATGTTAGAATAATTCAGTTAATTAACCTTATCCTATTCATAATGATTAGAAGTTCCTTATAAACATCAGAAAGAACCCTGGGCTATAATGCATCTAGCTTTAAAAGTGATTCACTTCTTGTACACTTCTACTTCCAGCAGTGCCAGCCATAAGCAGTCATATTTTCAATGTCTGTTTCCTCATTCTGGGCTGTAATGTAATTATTTCTATAAGATTGTAGTGAAAACAGTTCATAATTTACATATTAAATTTTCTTTAATAATGGTATATGAGATTTTTTCAGATTATCATTGCCTTGCTTGATAACACAACAGCATTGTTTGCTGTGCAGACTTCTTGGTTAGTCTAGAGTGCTCAGAAAGATTCTCACCAGTTTTAGTTTTCCTGTATTATTGTTTTGATATGAATTGTCTTGCTGGGGAATGGCTAATGTTGGTTTTGTAAAGTGAACAGTTGTTTAGAAGCAAGGAATGACTAATTGTTTTGAATGTGTTTAATGCTAAGGTCTGTGCAGTAAATTCCACATATGTATTTCCAGTTCTTCACACATGAGACTATATCTACCACCCCACAATGACTAAAATTAGAGAGGCATGTTTCAGAATGTGTTTATGTGTGGAATGTGCTTAACCTTCTCAGTACCAAGTTATTACCTGAACCTACCCACTAATATTGCCAGGTTATTCTATGTACAAATTCAGTTCAGCAGAGAAAAATTTATGATATTTTTAAGCTAGTTTTATTTGGGGGGGGGGGGGTTGTAACAGGGAGATCCTTCAGTTTTCAAGAAAACAACATTTTGAATATTTACATTTTAAATTATATGCCCCAAACATCAGTACATAAGTCAATTGTGGACAAAATGAATGCACATTAGTCTAAGAAACCACAGAGAATATGCTGTTGTAGTTTTTCCCACAACCAAACTACCTCTAACAAAACCTGCCATGTTTACAACTAACAGTGATAGAATTTTGTGAACATTATTTTTTCTACCTCTGCTGCCATAACAAAGAATATTTGGTACCATTCAAAAGCATAGATAGTTGAATTCAAGTCTACACATGACACTTCATGTCATCTGTCAGTCACAAGGCTTGGCTATGAAATTATTCACACAGTATTAGTATTTGCAAAAGTTTCAAGGTGATTATACAGTACAGGTAAATTTGTCTGCTTTTAAGAAGGAATAGGGATTGTGTCAAAATATGTACAGCATCTTAGGGCATGTGGGAAATTGATCTGTAATACTTTCTGGTTGCAGAGAAAAATTATAATCTTTTATTACAACAGGTAATATCACTGAACTATTTCCTTTAACCTGTTGAAACTCAAGATAAAGCTACTGCCCATATGTATGATACACAGTGGGATTATGGAGGTTACCAAAGTACATTACAGATCATAACTTAACCTGTTCAGTTGCACATGCTGATGCTGTCAACCTGCCATAATTGTATACTTTTCTTGGGAATTTTACAAAATGAAATTTCTTACAAAATTTTTACTGGAATGTTTGCTTAGTAATGTTGATATTGCCATATATTATTCTTGTAATTAAAAAGATAAATTTATCATGTGACTGAGTCATGTTTTGATGAGGGTGTTTGCGAGAGTGGGAGTGAAGTTTCACACATTCTTAACCTCAGTAATTGATGAAGGTGAGTGGTCTGCTTCACTCTTCACCTACTTTACCCTCAGAACCCATTGACTAGGAGGGTAAGTGGGCCATAGAGCTGGTCTTGACATGGTGGTGAAGAAAAAGATCCCACTCCTACCAGAAATTGACCCCAGTTTACAAACTGAGATATCCTGATTGGGTTTACATACTTAATTATTTAAATTTATATCCTGCATGTCTTGGGCACATTTGTTGCATAATATTTAAATAATGATAAAAGGTTAACTCCAAACTGAGCAGAGGTGACTGTTGTACTTGATATGTATGGCCATTACTTTGGATCTTGCAATATATCTTTCACTTTTGACTATATCACCAGTAAACTTGTTTTAAACGTAGCTGTGGTTGCACTGTATGCTGTGGTTTTTTGCATGAAGTGAAGCACATTCAGAGCTTGTGTCTGTCCATCTGTACAACTCTTATTTAAATTTCTTTTAATATTTTGAATTTGAGATTTGAAGTTTTCATGGTGATGATGTTGAAGATGTTTTTGTTTTTATGGGGGGGGGTCTGGCACCATATGAACTGGCAGGTAGATGCCAACGTTTCAGAGAAGCATACTGTCTCCATCTTCAGGGCTGAAGTGACAATACTGGGAATCAGAGGAATTATATAGTGTGGCAGGAAGGGAAGCTGTACAGCTGCAGAATGCCATTGTTCTGGCCAAGAAGTCAAGACAGATGGACTGTATCATAAGGGGAGTGACAGAGATCAAATGAACAGGGAAGATGGCTTCTACCTAAGTTGAGCATGAAAGCCTATTATTTGTGACCTGAAGGAACAGAGATATTGTCTCACCAAGCAATCTAACCCATCCTCTGGTGTCCCTGGTAAGGGCTAACTTCTTTTCTCCTACCCTCCCCCTTTATCCACCCCTTCTTCTCTGATGGTTAGAGTCTTGCCATTGACCTAGCTCATTCTCCACCTCTTTCTATCCTGATTGGCATATTCATTCAGACTTCCCTCCCTGCCATACTATATAATCCCCCTGATTCCAACATTGTCACTTCACGAGTGGTCTGACCACTTGGCTACCCTCACTGAGGTTTTCCATGCTCTTTCTCAGTTGTAAGGCAAATGCTAGCCCACTATCCCCAATCATGGAGGCTTTCAGCTAAAGTGATCCCCCCCAAGTCGCAGAGGCTTTCAGCCAAAGCAGCCCCACTCTCTCTGGGTTCAAACCCCAAAGAACCAACCAACCAAAATCCTTTGCTCAAAGGACATGTTGCCTGATGGGATAACCTCTCATCAGCAGCAACAGACCCCAGTTTGAATAGTCAAGGCTCCCGCCATGACAAAACCCCTGTTAGCATAAGCATATTCCCGTTTTAGTCATAAGGCTCTGTTTACCATTTCCAGCAATGCATTCCATACACAGAAATGGTGTTACCTAGCAAGCGACGATGTTTTGTGCTTGCACAGGACTCTGCCCTTAGTTACCTTTTTGGTTGGTGGTTGGCATTGTCAATTCAGCCCTGATCAAGAGAGATGAAGCTCAGGTGGCCCCTGCAAAATTTACTGTGCGAAGAAGTGTGTGACCACATGATGCACAAAAGAACTACTCACAGGAACCAAAACCTGACAAAACAAGCAGCAGTTTTCTGTACTTGTATGACAGGCCGGACAAAGATTGTGCTAGTGACATAGGGAAGTCTGAAGACACCATCATTGTATGGGATCAGGACCAACTGCACTGCACAGCACAGAAGTGGTAATCCTGTGGGACTGGCTGCAGATGTGCAGATGCATGCTGTGGTATGGGATGTGTGTGAAGTTGCAGAGGATTTGGTAGTGTTGCAGCTGGTTGCAAAGAAATGTGAATAATGGACTGTGTAATGAAGATAAATATTGTTACAGCATTATCACCCTTGCATTAATATATTACTGTAGGTTGTTTTGGTCCTATATTTTAAGTCTGGTAAAGACCTCAAAATTACAGTACTGTAATGGGATCCGTAATTTCATGTGGATTCTTGTTGAATTTGAGTTTATTCTGTACTCACTGTGACAATTAATTGTGCTTTGTTACTGCATTTGAAATGACTGAAATAATTGTTCTCTATTAGTTATCCTTTTTGTCATTCAGTTTGTTTGTCTCTAAATCACACTTGCACTCTTTTCTACCCCTCCACTCATATGCATAGCAATGCTTTTGTCTCCAATTACACTCAAAAGAAGGTGTTCTTGTCTTCATGCCAGCGTATTCACAAACAGTGTTGTTCTCCATCTGTCTAACACATAGCTTGTTCACTGACATGGAACAACACCTTGTTGCTTGCTGATTTACAGCTTAACTGTATGTGGCAAACTTTAAAATCAATAACCAATAAATTGCTCAGTATTTCTTGTTTGACTGCTCACCACT